GAAAGGTTTACTGAGTCGCCCAGACGGTATAGTGGTTAGGGAAGCCTGCTATAGTACTGAAGGGCCCAGGTTTGAATCCCGTAGAACACATGGATGTTTGTAAATGTATAGTGTTGGTACAGCATGGTGGCATTCTAAATATGCGGTGAGCTGAAAGTTCTCTCATATGGATTGGTGGAAGGGAAGAGGGGTGGGAGACCCTCGGGTGCTGGGGGTAGAAAATTACAAGTCCAACCTCTCTTCAGAGTAGGCTTTGGCAACCATTGTTCCATGTAATATAGACAAGACAACAACAACTGAGTGGATGCTGGTTCGAAGGTTGGCATGTTAGTTTCCTAACAGCTATCATTCTCATCTCTAGTAGACTGGGAGCCAACATTTATGCTAGGAATAAAGTGGCATGTTAACTAACTGAAAAGCATCATTTTGATGAAATCACTTTTGGAACAGATGTAATGCAATCACTGTTCGCAACGTTTTTGCTCAGAAGGAAAAAATACTGCCAAGATTTATACTACTGAAATCTGTCCAGCAAAAGTGCAGAAAAACAGAGAGAAATTAAGCACACTGCAGGGGGGGAGTGGCAGTTTTATATCTCCTGTTTTAATGGGCAGATTGACAAAATTCAAATTGCGTTTTTCATGTCTCGAAAGTGCGACTTAGGATATATATATTAGATTTATATACTGCTCTAATATAGGTATTTTGACAAAAATCAGACTTTTTCCGAAATGATATGGCAATTTTTTCCCACATTTCGATTTGATTACTCAAATTATGCCTAAATATTAAATTTTGTAAAATTTCATTTGAAATTTATGGAGAAATTTTAAAACTTATCTTGGTGGATTTTTTTCAGTTTGCACCAAGAATAAGTCACTTGGCAAACTTCTTAATTTATAGAAACCAATTTTCCTTTCCTTTTTCCATTGTCAACGAGCAGAAAAAATGTCATTGTTCATTATTTCAGATAACTTTAACAAAGAGCGTAAACCACATTCAGCATTATTATCACTTATAACAAACATGCCAGATATCAAAAACATGCCAACATGTAAATTCACATATATCCTAGGAAATTTTGAATAAAAACTCTACTTTTTTGCCAGTATGCTTAGAAATAAATCTACTTTTAAGATGATGGTAAAAATTGTATAGGTTATAATTCAGATTTTTTTTGCAAAATTTATAAAAATTATTTAAAAATACAAATTTTAACAATAAATCATAAAAATGGGTTAATTTTATTTGGAATGAACCTTAATTTCTAATTCTGGAAGAAGGAATCAAGCAAGTTTAATAAAAAAAGAGATATTAATAAATATATATCAAATTCAATTAACACTGAGGAGCGAAAATTTTGAGAGCTAATTTTTTTAAAAACTACTTGTGCGATTTTTACAAAACTTGACAGTTTGGCAGAATTTGAGTCATATAATCAAAATATGGGAAAAAATTGGCATGTCCTTTCAGAAAAAGTCCAATTTTGTATCAAAATACCTATATGAAGCCAAGAGTAATATATGCAGACAGAAAGAAGTACAGGGGGCACTAAAAAATTGCCACTGGCAATACTGTTATCGCCCCACTGCACTAACCATCTATGAAAATGCACCCTCATGGGTCACGCTAATGCCACACTCGGACATTTGTTTACATTGCAGAATTCATAATGGTTACATATTAATGGTGCATAATATGCATTACAGACAATAATGACTAAGATATACTTTACACGGGTACTTTGCAGTTGCATGGATAAATACATTAAGTTATTTACAGATGTACATATTTCTTTTGTGTTTCAGATTGGAGCTTTGTTGGTGGGAGAAGAGATTATGGTATGTGGTTCGTGGTTTGTTTGGTTTTTTGTTACACAGTTTGCAGTTTATTAGTTCATTCATAGTTCATAGTTCAGTACACAGTTTATAAATTCATTTCATGGCACACAGTGTTGAGCATGTAGTACTGGTGTATCTGTCACACACTGCACAGTATGAAGTAATTCTGGAAATTACGGTAATAGAGAACTAAAATTCCAGAGTAAGAAAAATGATTTCAGAACTTATCATTGAGCAAACAATGGAACAATAGACAAATTCAAAAGCAGATGCCAATGGTTGCCATATGGCATCACTGGCAAATCAAACTGGCAATGGCAAGTTTCAGATCTCCCAAAAGGTGACTTTAAAGCAAGTAATTTTCATTTTTTTTTTTTTTTTTTTTTTTTTTTTTTTTTTTTTTTAGATTTAGAAAGCATTATAGTAATGCAAGAAAGAAAAAGCGAAGAAACAAACAAAGGTTAGAAAAGAATAAAATTTTCACATCATGGGCTTATCGTGACGACTTAGAATTAGAGGGCCCTTTGTTAATAAAAGAATAGTCAAGAAAAGCTGTACAGTAATACAAATACACAAAAAATATACTAAAAATCCTTTAAAACATTCTTCTTATCCTTCTTTCAATAAAAAATTCATTTCTTTAAAATATTTAATAAGGTGTAGACCACTAAACTGTACACAGAAATAGAACAACAGCAGCAGGAAATTCTTCTTACTAAATTTACAAGAAAATAATATTCCAATTAACTTCATTAACAGTCTATTTTAAAAAGCTGGAGTCGTCTATACCCTATAGAATATTTTAAAGTAATGAACTTTTCACCTGAAAGCTCTAAAGGATGTTTTAATGGATTTTAGTATATTTTGTATATATTTGTATTACCGTACAATTTTTTTTGACTATTCTTTTATTACCAGAGGGCCTGTCCATATATGTATTACTGTACAATTTTGCTTGATTATTCTTTTATTACCAGAGGGTATATTCTAAGTTGTCACGATGAGGCCATGATGTGAAGATTTTCTTTTCTAACCTTTTTTCCTTTTTCTTTCTTGCATTACTATAATGCTTTCCAAATCTTTAAAAAAAAATTTAAAAAAAAAAAAAAAAAACTACTTGCTTTGGGGAAGATCTCAAACTTGCCATCAAAAATTTGTTTCACCAATGACACCAAACGGCAACCACTGGCATCTACTTTTGAATTTCTGTCTATTGTTCTTTTGTTACGTCAATGGTAAGTTCTGAAATTATAGTTCTCTGTTAATTTTTATAAATATTTTGTATTTTTACATTTCAATTCCAGGACACATGCCTTATTACTGTTCTTTTATTTGATTGGACATTGAATTTACTTCATATGGATTTGTTTTGTATATTTTTAGCCCAAAGGGCATTAGCCCAGAAGGGCTATTAATTTTGTTTTGGCATTTTGCTTTGGTTCATTATAAATGTCGGTTGACTTTTCAAATTGTTGCTACCAAATATTAGAGCCCCGCATTAGGTAAAATAAGAAAGATTAAAAAAATTAAATAATGAGGAATCTGCATGAATGTATATATGTTTCTTGCACTGTGAGAAAACAACTGTACCTACAGAAATCAAATTTTCAATAAGTTGTCCTGCACTACAACATGGGGTTCTGGAAGCCTGAACTTGAAATTTGGAATTTGTTTTATTTCATATTTTATAAAACTTTAACATATTTTTGATTACGAAACTTGATTTCAAAGCGAGCAATGCAACACTGTACAGAAAAACATTTTTATCTCCAGTGCACGAGACTGTGGAATCGGACTAAAGATATGCCATTTAAAAATTATTTTGCAATATTGCTGTTGAACTCAATTTCGTGGTTTAACCCTTTCCGGCACGCTACACTTTAAAGTTGGAATTTCACCCAAAAAATTTGTAGGCAGTCTATTTAGGCCTAGGAGAGTATGCAGGTATAATTTTACAAAGACTGCACAAACTGTTTCCGTTTTGTGGGTGTGTCCGAAGCGAACACATTGAGCCGCACGAGCTGCGATAGGTCAGCATTGCTGTGAAGCACAAATTACAGTAAAATACTTTGTCTATGATTTAAAAACAGTAGAATCTGATCTTTGTAGCAGATTTAGCATAACCCAGGGTGCACCATGGGAAGGCCTGCTACTCTACAGCCCCCCAAAAAAACCTGGGGAAAAAAGGAAACCCTTATTGTTTCAGCAATGCTGAAGCCTCTCCGAGCCATTTACACAATTTTAAAATTTATAACAAAAATAATTAAAATACTATAATACTTACAATTAATTATTGACTAGAAAAAATAATTATTAAATATATATACACAAATAAAAATCTACAGAAATCAAAACTAAGCAAACTATGCACGATGAAAGCAAGAGAAGAAAAGGGTCTGCTCTCGCTGAAAATCAAAATACCTAAGTGAAAACAAAGCGCGGGCGTCTTCAAAAGCAAAAACAGAAAAGAATAAAAACAAATATAAATAAATCTGTGCTCTCAGCCTTCTCTATGCAATGGATACAGTGTTACACAATGGAGAGTTATGCAATGGATACAGTGCTCAAAGCGAGTGAAAATGTTACCGCATTTTAATTGCATTTGACATTTCGTTATTGCTACTTTATTGTAATTAAAGTATTAGTAAAATCAAGAATTTAGAATATTTTCAAAATGTCAGATACAGAAAAAAAAAACGAAAGAGAGTTTTGAAAACACAGTTAACGAAATTCATCAAGAGAATAGATTATGATAACTTAGATAATGCTGAAGCTGAATTAATCTTAGAAAAATGTAAAATCTTTAAGGAAGATTTCAAATCTCTATTTAGCGAAATTTATACAAACTGTGATGATGATAAAATAGACACTTTCGTTGAGGAAGTACAATCGATAATAGAGAAAATTGAGGAGGTTCACTTAAAAAATTATTCGTAAGTTAAAGATTGACAAGGTCGTAAACGCAAATGGTGACAAACCTGTCGTACCTGAATCAATCTCTGAAAGTAACCAAAATTATCTTTACCCATATTTTGTGGAAATTTAACAGAATGGATAACATTTAAAGATTTATTTAACGCTAGTGTTCGCACCAATACAAATCTTTCTGGAGCTAAAAAATTACAATATTTAAAGAGTTCTTTGAAAAATTATGCTTACTGCATTATTCAGTCAATTCCCATAGCTGATCAAAATTTCAGTATTGCTTGGAATTTACTAGAAGAGAGATTTTCTAATAAAAGAGAACAGATATTTACTTTTATTAAAAGAATTCTTAACATTTCACAAATACAAATGGAATCTGCATCCTCAATATTAAATTTAGTAGATAACGTAAATGAAATAACTTGCTCACTGGAAATATTAGATCAAAGGATAGATCATTTTAGTGATACTTTGTTGATGGTTTTGCAAAAGCTTGATGTTTCAACAAAGTTGTGGTGGGAGCGTCAATTAAAAAAAGACGAAATACCAAAGTTGAATGACTTGATAAGAGTTTTGAAGAATTACGCTTGAACATTACAGAACAGTAAACCTTTAATTAGTAAAACGCATAAATCAGATAAACCAGTGTATAATAAGGTTTCTTCTCTGATTACTAATTCTACTTGCTTATTTTGTAAAGAAGATCATTTTTTACGTAGGTGTTCTAATTTTTTTAATTTACCAGTGCAAAAACAAATAGAGTTTGTTAAGACTAATAAAATTTGTTTTAATTGCTTATCTAATGTCCATAAAATTAAAATGTGTAAGAGTGCAAATACTTGTAAACATTGTTTTAAGCATCATCATAGCATTTTGCATTTAGAAAATAATTTCAAACCAAAAAATGCATCTAGATTCCCTTCACCGGAAGTACAAGTGTTTGTTTCAAAATCCCAAATTAAAACAGAAAAAAACTTGAATGAGGTTTCTCCAACTGTTTGTGCAAACAACTATGAAAATCACCATTTTGGAGCTCTTGCTAATGGTAAACGTAGTCATGTACTTTTGTGCACTGATTTAATTAAGGTTCAAAACTCACAAAATGAATTCATAAATTCTAGATGTTTACTAGATTCAGGTAGTGAAAAATCCTTCATTCGTCAGACAACAGCTAACAATTTAGGATTGAGCGTAAAGGATTCGAAGATATTAGTGTCATGCTTAGGTACTAATACAACTACTACTGGAAAAGTTGACTTGTTGTTTACACCTCATTTTAGTACTAGTTACAGAATTTTAACGTCCACTTACATAATAGACAAAATTAAAGGAAACATTCCAAGTGTAACATTACCTCTGAATTTATATGAAAGCTTCCAAGATTTAACTTTAGCAGATCCTACATTTTATGAATCAGGAGAAATTGATATTTTGGTAGGAGTTAACATATTTCTTACTTTAATCTATGGCGAAGTAATTAAAAGGGGCAAAAATCTTCCATTTGCATTTTGTTCTAAATTAGGATGGGCAATTGCTGGAACTACACATTTTGAATTCCCAAACTGTAAGCAGGTTTCAGACAACACGCTAAATGTAAACACAGAGGAATTAGTTAAATCATTTTGGGATTTGGAACAAGTTCCCACATCGAAACCTTTAACTAAAGAGGAAAGACTGTGTGGAAAACATTTCGTGGAAAATCACGTCCGTAGTGAAAATGGTTGTTACTCAGTAAAATTGCCATTCAAGCCTAAAAGAAATGAGTTAGGTAATTCCAGACCATCAGCCTTTTACAACTTTCTTAATCTGGAAAAAAAACTAATAAAAACTCCTGAAGTTATATCAACAATATAAAGACTTCATATCTGAATATTTATCACTTGGACACATGGAAGAATTATCCGATGATAATCTAGATAAAGTAAATTTTCATTATTATATACCTCATCATCACGTGCTAAAGGAATCAAGTCTTACCACAAAATTACGTGTCGTTTTCAATGCTAGTGCCAAAACTACATCAGGGATATCGCTTAATGACACGCTAATGAATGGTCCCAAGGTACAAGACGACTTATTTACTATTCTTTTGAGGTTTAGATGCTATCCCATAGCCATCACTAGCGACTTATTGAAAATGTATTGGATAAGTTCAAATTCATGATGAAGATCGCGATTACCAAAAAATATTGTGGAGAGATGATCCATCAAAGCTGATTACAACTTACAGGTTGTGCACAGTTACGTACGGCACTACTTCAGCTTCATACCTGGCTACTCGCGTACTCAAACAACTAACAATTGACGAAGGAGCTAAATTCCCAAAGGCAGCTGAGATAATATTACACAATTGTTATATTGATGATGTCCTATTTGGTTAAAACACACTAGAGAACGTGGTAGAGTTAATTTCACAACTGAGTGAACTTTTACAAAAAGGTGGCTTTCAATTGCATAAATGGTGTATAAATGATCACTTGATTTTAAAAGCTGCATTGAATGCTCAGAAAGCTAATTCTTCATGCACAGTAGTTGATACTAAATCAATAAAATTATTGGGTTTGGAGTGGTATCCAACGCAAGACGAGTTAATCGTCACTTAGAAAATCTCGAAAACAGAGAGCATTCTACTAAAAGAATGATTTTGTCTTCTATTTCGAAAATCTTTGATCCACTTGGTTGGTTAGCACCTTTCATAATTGCAGCAAAAATCTAGCTTCAAGATATATGGAAATTACAAATCTCGTGAGATGATCCCTTGCCAGATGAAATCAATCAAAAATGGAAAATCTATTGTGAAGATATCGCAAATCTTGAATGCATTCGTATTCCTAGGAGAGTATTATTGCCCAAAGCTACAAATGTAAAACTTCATTGTTTCTGTGACGCATCAGAGAAAGCATATGCCGCAGTGATTTATTTAAAGTCTTCAAATAATTCTTCAGTTTCAGTGCAGCTACTAACATCAAAAACTCGTGTAGCTCCCCTGAAAGTAATTTATATTCCTCGTTTAGAACTCTGCTCTGCAGTTCTATTAGTGCATTTGGTTCAAGCTATGCAGATTTCATTGTTAATTTATGTTGACGATATTTACGCATGGAGTGATTCAATGATGGTTTTGTCATGGTTACAATCAAAACCCACACAAAGGCAAACCTTCGTAGCCAACCACGTTTCAGAAATTCAATGTCTTACCATCATCGCATTGGAATCACATAAAAGGGAAGGAGAATCCAGCTGATTGCGCATCCAGAGGTCTTTTGCCTTCAAAGCTTTCTACTCATGGACAGGTCCTCAGTGGCTTAATTCAAATAATATTCCGTTCTCTATCAACTTACCATTTTCAGAAGAGTCTTTAAAAGAACAACGGAAAAATGTTTCTTGTTCAATTGGAGCATTCGCTTCGCAATTTCCAGTCCTTAATGAAGTTTCATCATTCTTGAAACTTAAAAGAATCATCATAGTGTGTTTTTGGTTTGCGAATAATTCAGCTAAATCTAACACAAAAAGAATTAAGGGTTACCTTAAAACCGAAGAATTGCAATACGCTAGAAATGCAATTGTTAGAATAGTTCAAAGAGATGAGTTTTTTAATGAACATAATCTTCTGAAGAAGAACCAACCATTAAACTCAAATAGTAAGATCCTTTCTTTGAACCCCTTTATCGATAAAAATGGACTTATACGCGTCGGAGGAAGATTAAGACAAGCCAACATCGCGCAGGACTGAAAATATCTTATTTTGTTGGCCAAGAAACATCACATAACCCAGATTATAGTGAATCATTTACATGAATCCCATCTTCATGCTGGCCCCCTGCTATTGTGATCAGTGATTAGAAGAGAATATTGGATAATCCACGCTAGGTCAGTTGTAAGACAACAGATTTGGAAATGTGCGAAATGTCATCTTGTATGAGCTAAAATATCTACTCAACTATTGTCTGACTTACCATCGTCTAGAGTTGTTCCATCAAAGGTTTTCTCCAACGTTGGAATTGACTACGCCGAGCCATTTCAAGTGAAGCCAAGGTCGAGGAGTAAAACCAATGAAATGCTACATTTGTGTATTCATGTGTTTTACTACAAGAGCTACACATATTGAATTAGTAGGTAATATAACATCAGAATCATTTATTGCCGCTTTGAAGTGCTTTGTATCGGGAAGAGGAAAACCAATGGAAGTTTTTCCCTAGCTCAGATAATATTATACGCATCGTGAAACTCATAACTGCTAATGGAGTTTTCAAAAGGCCAATTCAGAAACTTAGTGTTTTACCTATCAGTGATTAAGTTTTTTTCTTCCTAAAGCATTATAATGTTGTACTTTGCTTTAAATATAATTAAGTTCCTACATTGTATCAAGGCTTCTGTGCATCTGTTTCGAGAACAATTTAGTTTCATTTCATAATTTCATATTATGTTTTCTTGTGAATATTTTAATGACACGTTTTTGCATAATTTAATATTGTTATGATAATTTCATATTGTAAAAGCTATTTAGATTTAAAACGATGTTTCAACTCCGGGCAGAATGTTTCGGCCGCCAGAGCTCTCTGCCTGTCTGTGAGATATTACAGTGGATGGACAAAAATATGGAAACACCTTGTGAAATGCATGTTTGAAAAGAAAAATTGATTTTAATGAAATATGTAGGTGGCGCTGGCGTTTTTGACTACTGACGCCACCTATACAACTTTGTAAATGTGCTAAACAGTTCAGTTGTTGTCGGAGTACTGTTATGTGAGGTTGTCATTGCATTATGTCAGAGTTAACAGACTTCGACCGTGGGCAATTGTTGGAGCACGTATGGTAGGTGCTTCCGTAAGCAAGGTAGCCGAGGTGTTTAGTGTTTCAAGAGGTACTGTATCAAAGATTTATTCCGCATATTTGAAAAGCGGAAAAACATCATCTGCTAAATCACAGCGCGGACGAAAGTGTGTCCTGAGTGATCGTGACAGACGATCATTAAGGGCAATTGTGACGAAAAATAAGAAGACCACAGCTGCAAAAGTTACTGGTGAAATGAATGTTGTGTTACCGAACCCTGTGAGTACCAAAACAATTAGAAGGGAGCTTCATAAACATGGAACTGCTGGCCGTGCTGCAATTGAGAAGCCACTCATCAGTGATGCTAATGCCCGTAACAGGAAAAGGTGGTGTTTAAGTCATAAAGCCTGGACTATAGAGCTGTGGAAGCGAGTAATATGGTCTGACGAGTCTTCTTTCACATTGTTTCCCACTTCTGGCCGA